TCCCTCTCTGAAACAGCGTATCGACCGGCCTTGCCTCGCCTTACCTGAACGAGACATGATGTCGACCACGTCTATCGAGTGTTAGCATGCCGCGCCGCGCACTTCCCGACCGATGAGAACCGGCCCGCGTCGTGACCGATCTTTCTTGACCTGGCGCCGATTCGCCGCCGCCGCCGCCCTGCTTCTCGCCCTCTGCTTAGAACTTTAGGCTCTGGAAACAAGTTGACCTTACGCCTCCGTGACTCATCTCCTGTGCCCTACCGCTCTGCTGTGTCACGGTTTACCGCTGTTGGTCTGTTGGCCAGGCTTGGCTATGCTGCTCTGATTTGGAGACGCCCCTGCTACTCGCCTGCAATAATGATCGCCTTTGCCAACCTTATCACTGCACCAGAAGGGATCAACACACGTACGCCCTTCTTGAACCTTGAATCTCTTGCTGTACTCCGTACACTCAATGGTTTACCCGTGGGTGGAAAGTATCATCAAACAAAGCCACAGCCAGCTACTGTTCTGCAACCAGTGCTGCTTTGGTGTGCATTACGGCCTACATGATGCCGCCCATCTTCAAGAAAGTCCACATGGACAACGATGAACGCCTCCAGCTTTGGCATCCACAGAGTTGCTCCAAAGGCCAACGCCCGCGCTGGCAAAAGCCTGAACAGTCTGAACAAAGTGAGACCACGCCCGCAGGTTGCGGCACACCATAGCCAATCCCGCCTGGGCGATTCCTTGGTTTCGAAATCATCACCAATGTTGTTTCCCATTTCGCATCAACAGCTCAACAGCAAAAGAAGGCCGCAACGGGTCAAGCGTCTGGTGCTGCTCATGAAACGACACACATACACAGCGCCCTCTTTTTCGGCCTCTGAGACATTTCCGAATGGTTTTGCGTCCTGCCACCAGCTTAACCGTCAGCTAGCGGAACATGAGGGCTGTCAGCCAACCACGGTCAATCGTTTTACACTCTAGCGGCCTGTTGGCATACTCAGCAGTGGCTCCCTGTTAACTTCAAAGACTTAGGCTACCCCCAGCCCAGTCCAGCCAGGAAATGTCTTCCAACCCCACGAATCTGAGAACCTCACGTTTCTAGCTGGGGGGTTTGCTCCTTTGTCGGGCCTTCGGGGTATCAGCAACACACTGGATTTCCTGGCGCACCTTGGCTTGCCTGAAAGGGAAGAAGGAGCCGTTAATCGTGTGGCTTCACCTACTCGCCTCCCACTGAAATCCCAAACAGACTTTTCGAGTACACGGAGTTCCTCCACAAGGCGGGAATCTCATCCAATCCTCGATCAAGCACAAAGCCCTCGCCGCAATCCTAGCCCCGAGCTCAACAGTCAGTTAAACGTCCAGGCCAATCAACCCTTGCCGTCTATCAATCACAGCCAAACGTCGAGATATGGGCCTCATGCCTTTCCCATAACCGGTTACCCTGCCCTACGCTGGAGATGATCTCCGGCAACACGCAGGACACGGACTCTGTCTCAATGCCGCCAACAGCCTACAGGCGCAATCCTACCACCCGCCAAAAAGTCAAAAGTTTCGGGTTCGCATGACTGATCGCTCCCTTCCCGCAATTGACAAGAGGGTGTAGCCATGTTGTGGCTCAGAACGAGCTCGTGTTCGACTTCACTGGAGGGAAATGCCCCCTGCTGGCGATATACCCACGCACTAATCGCTACTCCCGTCCCCTGAAGTAGATCGTTCCCCACGTTACGGTTTCATGTGTATGCCTTTTCATTCCCAATCGAATGCACTCCCCTCCGGCTTTACGTGTCCAAGTCGCGTTTGGGATCACTGCAACGGATCCCCTATCTTCTCCATTTGATTCTGGCTTCCTCGGGTCAGTGGGCCGACGCCGAGACGCAGGGTGAGAGTCGAGAATGCGGAGGGTGAGAAGCTGACAGCCTAGCGCAAGCAAGCACTCACATTCACACATTATCGTCCAAAGGCCCCCAACAAAGTGTGGTCCTGCTGGCTCCATCGTGAGCCAACGACTTGCATGCAGAGTCTCGTGCGAATAAGCCCGGGCCCCTCGTTGCAGAGACAAGGACAGAGACCGGATGGCAGCTGACAAGCGGCCACAAGCACCGTCGACAACCACATGCTCGAGCCCTACGGTCGGCGTCGATAGCTTCGCGCCAAGCGTCTGTTCGAAATGGCCTCCTGCGACGGTGGCTTCGCCATGACCCGCTGGCCACCGAACGACTTGCCAAATGTGTCAGGCGTCTTGTTCGGGCCCAATTTACATTGCTTTCCCCCTCATCGTAGCCCATATCAAGACACCCAGCCGCTTACTAGTACTCGATCCCTACGTTACCTATTGCGGCGTTATCTGCTTAACTGACGGGTACTATGATGCCCCTCTTATCTCGGGCAGGAGGGTGCTAACGACAGCCACCATGCATCAAGGCGCTGAGTGCTTGAAAGATGGTATGCTTGAAATCCTGCAACAGCCTAACCTCTATTGCAGCCCACCTGGAGTTTCCCCTGAAAGGCGCGACAGATCTGCACCCTCTTTTGCTTGTAACGCAGCGGGGCGGACATACCACAGCTTTCGAGTCTAGCCCTGGGGAAGTGGTTGCGCAAGCGTGCGAGTACCTCATCGGCTGTCCAACTAAACCCCATTTTCAGGGGGTCGGTCGATGGCAGAGGAATCGATTCGACTGTATCTGGCACCGGAAGGTTGATGCAGTAATGCAACCAGGTACCCTGCTTACAAGCATCACAAGCAACGCAGAGGGAAGTTGGAAGAGGGGGAGCAGAATCAACCCATCTTCACCGCCCGGATATGCTCCTTCGCTGTGGCATCACCAATTCATTCGGTCGAGTTGGTCCACGTCGCATGCTGAGCCAACGCAGAGACTCAACCTCGTCCAGCCATTGCAGAAATGCAGTGTCCGCCGGCCGTCCGTCCGTCTAGACCGTCTCGGCACCCGACCGAATTCCTCACCGCCTCCCTTCTCCCTCCTCCCAACGCCCCCGGAGCTCCATCTCCCACCTCCTCAAACCCGGGGCCCACATGCACCGGAAGGCCTTGCCGCTTCGGTCCTGGTGTGTCGGAGACCACTCCGGTACAATGCCACGCGAGAGCCGTGATTGGCGGGGTGGCCTTGGAACGGAACACCAGCACTGTAGTACGAGTTCGCCAATCGCGCCTCAAGGCCCAGGCCACACAAGGTGGCTATGTCCCGAGACAGATTGTGGCTGAAGTTCCGAACTTGCCCACGACCAGCTGCTCGGGAGGCCTGCCTATTGACGAAAATCGATTATTTTCCAGCCTGTTGGGCCGAATGCGACAACGTCTTCGGCCACAGCGTCGTGATCCGGTGCGGCTCAGACAAAGTGCATCAAAAAAGACACCTGTTCGCCTGACACAACAAACATCGGCAGTCTCCGCCACACGGAGATGTTCGTGATGCGAATTCATGCGCCCACTGAAGCGATGAACCACTTATGGTGTCTTGTCCCCTGCACCGTTCGGCTTGTGCCAGCTGATGGGAGGCATGCCCATGCGTGGGAACGGAGTATGGACTTGGGACCGTGGCATGGGGTGATGGAAGCCAGGCATTCGCTGAATCTGTACCCCGCATAGGGCGGTCTCTCTCCCATTTTGAGCCACAGTTGCGGCATGCCTTTCAACGCATCAACGTTCACGCCCCCCCTTGGGACCCTTTCCCCTGTCACGCTGGGATGATCGCGCGTTCCCATTCGTTCAGCAGGGGATTCCAAGGTGTGGTGCGTGCGCTGCTCTCAATCTGTCATCCCATCCATCGCTGATCGCCGGCCTCGGCTCTTTAGTCAGTTGATCGACGACTCTTCCGATCACCCTCTTCAGGGATTTAGCTGCCCTGCCGTGCCTGCGTCGGGCCCCCTTGCTCCTGTTGGCTACAGGCCTGGCCTGCTGCGCTCTCTTCCTCGCCAGGTCGCCCCTCGCTACTCGCAGTCGCAGTCGCAGCGCCAGAGGACGCGACAGCGACGGCGAACATACTACGGTACCAGCCACACTTGGGGCCTCCCCTCCCCGCGGCGATTATTCATTCTCCCCTCCCGTCCCACCCGAGCCGCCACTTCCCGGATCCGAACATGGCTCTGGTGGTTAGTCATTCGTGTCCTTCTTTGGTGGCTTGGAAGGCCATGTTGACCCGGCCAGCGTCACACTGCAAATTGTCTCCGCCGCAGAAAAAGGAAGAAGAATAATCGGGACTTTGACAACGCTATGGCGGTGCAGGCAAGCCAATGTCACTCTTATCCAAGAACCCATGCCCATAGCATTGGAAGGGAAAACGCAGGCACGATGCCCGCCAAGCCACCCTTCGTACGAAATGTCACTCCGCCGAGACTCAACAGAACGAACACTGCAAGCTTTCTTCGAGGACTCTGTAAGGAGCTTCTCCTGTGTAATCCAGTGGTCATCTACCAGCGGCGTCCGCTTACCGGGGCGTGGCGCCGTCCGGTCGCCCCAATCCTTTGATGTCTCGGTCGCGGCGTGGAAGCGGGAAATTTCTGCCGCACCACGATGAACAATACGTAAAACCTACGTCGACTCGAAAACGCCAACCATGCGGTGTCTTGCGCGACGCCTCGTCGGCACGTCGCCGAGTGACCTTTCCTCATGTGGACGGCAATTCAAGCTCAACGCCGGCCCACGCAAGGAACGCCAGGAAGAAGAACAAGAAAGCCAACATTGTACCACCAAAACTGAGGCTTGTCTTTTCTTGCTCTCCTGTGAGAATGATGCTGTTCACTGGCACCACAGCGGCTCTCCCTCTACATTGACACCCCCATAACCATCGGACTACGCTTCCTGCTGTCGGACGCATAGGTCTGAAAGGATTGCTGTTCGAGGTTTGAACAGATGCAATTCATGGCTTTGGTGCCGGGCGCCAAAAGACTGCAGGCGGCTTATCCTCTTCTTAGCTCAATTCCTTAATTTTCAAACGCCAGCTGTAAAAGACGCCCGCTCGTGGGAGCCAATGACGGCAGCCAAACCAAGATGGTCTCTACACGACAAGCAAAAGAGTAAGACAGGCGACGAACCGCTTGCCGTCGCCTCGAATCAGCCTCCAACCGCCGCGTTTCAGGAAGCGCGTCCTCGTCCTCTGCGCCTCAATTCTCGTTCCATCGCTGAGCTGCAGGACCTTGACTAGCGCCCGCGCATCAGTCATCCGAACATGGCTCTTCGTTCCTCCCATGTCTCCCGGGAGGCTCTCGCCCTCCCCCTCCCCCACAAGCGCCCGTCGACGTCTCATTGGCCTGCCCGGACGGCATGCCTCGAATAGACGCCGCACAGACTTTGGCTGATGGAAATAGCCACGGCAGTCTGCGTAGCCGCTGCCATCCTCATGCATCCACTCGCAAGGCCATAGGCCCCGCAGCCGCAGTCACCCTACCAGGTACCTTACCGACCCCAGAATCCTACTGCAAGGTTATCCGCTAGCTGAGGTAAGGTAACAGTCAAGGACGACAACAACAACAATTCCCCGAAAGCAGCACACCTTGTTCAACTCTATTACATACCCGCTTTAGGAACTCGAGTTTTGCCCACTAACGCCTCGCAGAGTCCTCTTCGTCATTCACTTCCTGGACCCGACAGACTGGATGAAGGCGTTCACAGCTGTTTGCGCGGACCGAGACAAGATCTAGCCCTGGTGTTCACCGTCGGGGTGATGGCCTTCAGCAGAAACAGCACACATCATCTTCGTCGGGGTCCACTATGCTAGACATCCCCGCTGGTCAACAAAAGAGCTTTCTATCCCATTTCTTATCCACCAACGAACTTCGACCCGCATCCGGCGAGACATGTTCAGCCAGCGCACATGGCAGCCTCCTGCTTCATCGACAACCAGAAACCTAACGGGCACAGCCTCCACAAAGTGCCTCGATCCTCCCCATCGCAGGATGCCAGAGACACACTTCCCGCCGGTTTCCATCAGCTCTCTGTCCGCCAAAGGTGTAGTGCCTCCAGTCTTGCTGCCACAAGCTTCAGGTCCCCGAGACACGCACCACGTCCTTGGGACCGATATCTGTCTGTTTGCGTTTTGCTTCTCGTTCGAGTTTGCACGCCCTCCATGTGGGAAATCGAGTAGCCTCAAGCCCCGCGGCACCCTGGACTCGCCCCGCGCGCACCGCGTACTCTTCTCTCGTTCCCAGGTCCCCGGTCGAAAGCCTCCCGTTTGCGGCATCGCCGGTGACGTGCGGAAAACTTCTTCGTCGCCTTCTAGCGTCTTTCTACTGGCCGCACCGTCACTTTTCTCAGGCACACGTACGCTCGCAGCCTTTACTTTTCCCCTCAAGTCCGGTGCGGGAAACAAATTGAAGGCCCCAGGGCCAGAAACGGCCCCATCCACACAAACGCTCCACGCGATTTCGTAAAGGTACGCCCAAGAGTCTGCTACACGACTTCCGATTAGTGCTCAAAATGCATTGATACGTCGACTCTGTTCATCTATTGCCCTTTTGAACGCAAGTCTTGGCTGCCCGGGCAAGCAGAACACCAGGCACAGAAACCAGAGCAGACGCCCGTCGGGAAGCCTCTCACTTCGTCGTGGTGATCTTTTTCGTGGAACCACAAGCTCATCGGGGGGACGAGTAGCAGAGTGTCTCTCATCTTGTCCCCTCTAGGTATGGTCACTGGAGCTTCGAAAAACTCTCTTCCGCTAGACTTTTCACGAAATCGTTTACGGAGGTCTCACCCATCGGGGCTGTGCTGGAACACTTTCCAGATTCCCGGGTTTTTGCCTCCCTCCAAAGCCTATCCTCAATGATCCCCCGTTTAAACCTGTTTCTTGGGATCATCATAGTTTCGCACGTAAGAAACAGTCGCCGGGCCTGTCTTACCACTTTGAATAAGATTTCCGGGTACGAAATCCGGGGATTGGGTATGAGTTTAAGCAGCAAGCAGCAGCTGAACCGCAAGCCCGGGAATCGAGATAAAGCTGGGAACGTTGGTTCCGCTTCGTTCTGGTCGTCGGTGGGTAGTGTTTGGCCAGGTCTGGTTTGGTCTGAGGTTGGCGATGTTTCGTCGTTGCCCCTCGTCGTAGAATGACGTGTGACGGTGTGTGATGTGGCACACTCACTCACTCGCGTACTGACTGCAGTCTCCTTCTATCGTTTAGGTACTCCTCTTCGGCGTCGTCACCAGAGCTTACGTAGAGGAAGAGACACTGACTACCGCAGTCCTTTCTCCTTGCGGATTTGACGTATTAACTCCGGACCCTCTACCATGGTTTGTCCCCCTTCGAGACTTCTTCTACTGCCGACTGGTAACCTACAAAAGTTCCCATGACGGATGTAAAGCCTCTTCTAGCCTATCTGGTGCTCTACTTGCTTACGCAGCTGACTGTGCAAAGGGATCAACCGTCTGAACCGATCTACCCGTTGTTTGTTTTGTTTACGTTTTGTTCAGCACCAGACCCGTAAGAGATAGACCCCTGTTTTTTCCCCTCCGTCTATACCCATTCATTTTTACCTTTACACATTTGAGAGGGGAACAATCGCCGGAAATGGTATGGAGTTGTTGACTTTACGTGATGGCGGCAGATGAGGAGAGGTGTAGTCAGGTAAACACGGACACGGATTCTTTTCACCCGTTTTACCGCGGTTCCTGGTTTTTTGTGGTGGGTGGTTTTACCAGAGCGGCTAGACTAGATACGTTCAAAGGCGTTCGTTCGCCTTTTCTATCCCGCGCGAAGGTCTCGGTCCGTAGGGACTTGCGTCGTTTCGAGCCTTGATCGTTGTGGTAGCTTTCTCCTCCAAGGGAGGCTGCCTGCGGTACACCTTTCTTGGGCACTCTGGGTTACCCATACACGCCGACTCTTTTGGCGTGGTCACACACACACGATTACACAAATCGAGCTCACCCCGGATACACGGAAAGATGTAGCCCCGGGGCAGCGCGGCGATGGGGGGACAGTCACGACATTTGAGACATTGCTGAATTAGGTAGTGATTGGGTTCTGTTTCTGGGTGAGCTAGCCTCCCGTCTCTGGCCTTGTGAATATGTGTACGGCCAACCAGTCTGCCGTCGCCGCCGCCGCCATCGTCGTCGTTGTTCTCGTTGGCGTGTGGTGCTTGTTCCCGTCTCGCACCTTTCCCGCCTTACGCGTACTTTTCTCTTAGTGAGAAGCTTCTCTCTCGTTGCTTCTCTGCTTTTGACGATGGCTTCGGAATCATGGAAAGGGAGGCAACGTATGCAGGACTTTGTGGTCCCGATTTGTGTTTTTTACGACACCAGTACCCTATCGCTACGACGGGGAGCAAGCTTCCCGTTGATGAGTCTAGTATCTCCATGACGTGAGGCTTACTTTTTGCTTCATTGTGTACATGTTTTTACGCGGAGACCCTTATTCATCGTAGTCCCCGCTTACCTGTCGGCTATTCGTCGATCTAGCATTGTTATCAAATCACTAGGTAGATATCAGATAGAATGTTCACCTCGTCCATCGGTCTAGGAAAGTGCGCGCGTGTGCGATCGGATCCCGTTCGTCCCGTCCGGGGGAGGATCGTCCCGCCGCCGGGAGGGAGGGAGGGAGAGCGCTCGGCGGGGTAAGCGGGGAGGAGGGAGGTACGGCAAGGTGCCGATGCCGATGGGAGGAGGGAAGATCTTCTTCCTTTCCATTCCCTAGTCGCCGACGCCCTCATTCCTCCCGTCGGCCTTGTGCCTTGTGAAGTCACTGACACGAGTACGTAAGGTAAAGGTCAAGCAGCAGTGGCAGGTGAAGATACCACGCGGTTCTGATGGCCGGTTCAGGAAATATCTTACATTCTGCTTTTTCATCTTGGCAGAAAGGAAAGGGTTGCGCATGTTTACTTGTTTGCCATGCTTCTTGTCATTGCTCTTTCCTATTCGGGAGAATCTTATCTCTTGGATTATCATTGGACTAGAAATTCAATGGTGGAATTCAAATAGGTAGCGGGTAGTGTCTTCCCGCATTTTTTTCGTCCCTCCTATTGTTTGTCACCAAGACATGGGCGGACTAAACTCCGGCTTAGGAAACCGTTTCGTCGTGGGGAGGGGGGGGGGGGCCGAGGAGGTAGGTAATAGGGCAGGAAGAGGTGGATGTTGTCACATTCTAGCTTCTACCTTAGAAGTCTTGAGAATTGATACTATGAGGTTAGGGTAAGAATTCCATTACTAGAGGCGGCGCGGGAAACGGGATGATCGTCCTTCCGTTTGAAGGATTTGTGTAAACCGATAGCTAGCTTCATGATCGTCTCTGGGGCGTTTTCATCACACTCGCTCGGAGCTTGCTCCAGCCAGTCACTGCTATCACGGCTGTGAAAGGGCATGCGCAGACACACACTCACTCGGCATCGGAGTGTAGATCCTCCTCCCCCACCCTTTCTGATATCACTTGGAAAAGGAGGCCGTTTCGTAGGGCGATCCATCTAAGAGGTCGAACCATGAAGAAGGCAGGCGGTATGCGGAAGGGCGTCTATCACCAGAAGAAAAGGCGTGATGAGAGAGAACGGGTGGCACCCCTCCCGCGCCGCTCAGCCTGCCAAATCCTTCGATGCTGGTTATTTCTCTCTCCGCGCCCACAGTCTAGATTGAAAGGAAAAGTGCTTCGATTTCGCGGTTGAGAAGGGTGTGGGAAACTCTATATTGTGTGATGTCTTCCAACGATGGACGATGGGGGTGTATAGGATAGGTAGACTTACACCGTCCCCTATTCATTGTCCATATCGAACCTGTTTCTGTTGATTCTGTTGAATGTGTTTGCCCCTCTTCCCCCCCCCCCCCTCTCTTTCCTTCACTACAATGTCTTAGGTCGTTTGTTCCTGCGCGAAGATCCCTTCTAGCGCTTCTACGTTGGATTCCACCTAGCCTCTTTCGGTGAATGCCTTTTCTCTCTCTCTCCATTGACGAAACCACGCCCCCGTACCTACCGTCGAACGAACGGTGAATAATAAGAGAGAGCAAAACTCCGCGGACGCCCGGCTTACAGAATTCGCCGGGAAAGGCAACCACTCCGACGACTGCCGCGCGGGCGGATAGCCACCACCTCCCCCGAGTCAGGAACACCACGATAGCTGGGCTGCCTACCTACCTCGACTCTTTGCCTCTTTTTTTTGTTCTTCGTTTCTACAAACAGCAATGAGTAGGGCAATTCAGGTCGGCGAAGTGGGACGTTCCATTACAAGCCACCGTTTTGCTGTTAATTAGTCCACCGACGAGTATTTCTATCACCCACGTGCTCAACAGTTTTGCTGGCGCCTTTCTCACGATACTCACTCGAAGGTTTCGCCG